TACTTTTTAAGTAACGTTTTCTCTCAGATGATTATTTGCTAATGATTAAAGCAGATTGTCATGTTGATCTTGATTAACTTTTTTCTTAACTAGAGAAGATGCGATTTAGCTATTACATGTCAATAACAACCTGTACAATTCATTGTTATTCTCATCGATAAATATATGGTATCCTCAAAGTGACTATCACTTATCAAATCCATATAAGTCCATTTTTAATCAAACTTTTTCTAATGATTTTTTTATTTCAAAGAGGAGACAAGTAAGTTTGTATTTACAAAGACAAAGTTCATAAATATTATTCATAGATACTACCTATAACTTCAATATAATAGTTTAAACATTTCAAAATTTCTGGAAAAAACATCACATAAGTTTTCCTTTTTTTTTCACTATTCTAGTTTTTGAATCATCTAAATCTTCTACTAGTATTCTACAGACATTTATTTTAGGATGTTTTCATAGAAAGAAATTTAGTGACGTTAAATCTGGTGATCAAAGAGTCCATGATAGTGGTTGAACTCTTCCAATCCGTCTACTATCGAAGGTTTTATTGAGCCAGGAACAGACCGCTTGCAAAAATGTGCCGGTGATCTATCTTGATGAAAAATGATGGACTTCGTTAACCTTTTCTTTTGTAAAATTGCATAAAAGTAACTCTGAAGCATTTAAAGATAATCGTCTTGAGAAATGGTTTCATCATCGAAAAGTGATAACTCAGCAATTTGTTTACTTGACATTCTCCACTAGATGGAAACTCCTAGTGAATTTGTTGCACCATCGACAACAACGAACAGGTATGTTCGAATCATATATGACAATTATATTTATTGACAATTCCAGAAACGTGAAAATTAGCTTCATCTGAGAAAAATATTCATTCATCATTATCTTCAAAAGTCGTTACTAATAGTTCAAACATTTCAACACGTAATTCTTGATCTTCATCACGCAATTGTTGCGTTAAATGCACTTCGTACAGCTTGTAGTTCAGAACAATGCTCATTGTACAATGAATGATAGATCTTGACAAGTTCACTCCTTTGGAAATAAGATTAATGCTATTGATAGACATTGTTGCTGAAATTTCAGTAATATCAGTTATCTTTTTCGTGGTTGTGGAAGCTGTGTCCGGACTCAATCATATTTTCTTATTGTAAATGTCGACAAATCGTTATATGAGATCCAAAATTTATCATTAAAACCACAATTTCGATTTTTAATCGTAAAATGGGAGGTATATTTTATGTAAAGATATTTTTAAATATGAATCAGGTTTTTATTAGTTTCGATTAGTTTGATCGACAAATCTATTTCTACTCTTTCAAATAGAAAAAAAAATTATTAGATGAAGCTTGCTTTAATGATGGAGTTATACGCATTTGTTTTAAGTGATAATGACTTTTGGGACACATTGTATTTATACTCGAACGAATTAGTCTGGATGTAGAACAGCAAGACAAAATAAAGTTGTATTAGACATTTATGAAGAATTTCATCAATTTATGTTTGTGCTGCCAGGTTAAATAGTCATTCAATATAATAATCTCATTTACAGTATTCTTGTCCGACATTAGATACTTCACTTTATTGCACGATGAGTCATACTCTTCGATCTTATCGAAGTCTTCTTTATCCTACGTCTGAATTAAATCTACATCTGAAATTGTTGGAAATTGTTACATGGATTTAAGTCTTGTTGAGCCATTATCGACTCTTGATTCATAGAATAATTCTACTTGATTTTCTTTTGTGCTCGTGTTAAGATCAATTTGATAAATTATTGGCTAAAACTGTTAATCTTACGAAAGGTCGACCCAAAGGAATTCCGAGAACTTTTAATTGAATATCGACTTAATTATATAAAATTGATTGAACAAATCTATGAATGATTATTATGTCCCAAGGATCGATCAATTATCTTTAAACAATTTCAAAAAGCTCAACCCAACTATACTAATAATAAAACGTCCAGTCTTTCATCACAACAGAGACAAGATATTTCGCTGCTTTTGAAGATTAAAAGATTATTATTAAATGTTGGACAAAAATATATTGTCAACTAGAAAGTCGTTCAAAAAATGAGAAATATTTTGCTTCTTATTACGTATAACTTATCGATCACGGGCAAGTTGCCAATGTATGCGACTCTATTATACACTGTAGTTTGGCATAACAATGTGATCAAAATGCGTGTCGCCATTTTCTCAAGTATGTCCATCCGCAGACACAGTTGCCGGAAAATCTTGAGATTCATTTTGTTGATCATTTTTATATTTTGTTGATAGTAGAACATGACGTTCGACTCTTAGACTCTATGCGCTATTGATGTTTCAGAAAAGATTTAAATATAATAATTTCAAATAACAACTCATTAAAGATCTTTCTCTTACATAAAAAATATAATGTAGAAAAAATGAGAAAAAGCACAAAAGTTGTTATGAAATCAATTAATCTTAACTTTCGAGATCATATTGTTCCTCTTGAATGAATACATCAAAAATATTTTGCATTGAGTCTTCTGTTGTAGTCATTTGTGAATCGCTATTTTTTTCATTTAGTCAAATATTAGATGAGTTATAGTGAAACATCGTAGTAGGTAGTACCTAGAATACCAGAACTTGATCGATTAAATACTGTTTTCAAATCATCCTATGATCGCTTGACGTCAAGAGTTGTAGTTGGTAGATAGTTTCTTCGACGCATGTAAGACAATTCACAAGACTATCTATATTCTAGTAATGAATAAACTGGAAATCAATGTTTTCTGTTGATTCATTTAAAAAAATGATCTTTTCCCTTATTTTATTTATTCTGACATTAGTGTTTTTGAAGAAACAGAAAAAGCTATCCATCCGTTTTTCAGTGTACCTAAATGCACATGTATAATTTACTTGAGTGAATGCTAGTAAATTCATCAGTTAACCAAGCAACTAATAGGAAAGAAATATATGGATAATAAATTCAGACATGCAAAACAGAATATTATGACATTTATAATAGTCATATAATCAGCATGGATCTTTTACGGTTAAGTTATTTTTTTCAAAATATATAAAATAGAGTATTGCATTAAAAGAATGAAAGATTGAGTATATTGCATATGACATAGATAAAACTTTATTGTCAATTCGATTTATGATCGGTTGTTTTGTATCTGTAATTCTTTTTTCTCTACTTAGCATACTATTCAATTTTTAGTCATTTAAATTGCCTTCAATAATTTTAGATTCATGAGAAAGCGAGAGAAAGAGAAAATTTATGAGCTTTTCCTAAGCAGTTAGCAGAAAACATTTATCTCTTTCAACTGATAACATATTTGAGGATGTTAGAGGTCGACGAATTCAGTACTACTTCAGATCTGAGGTACTGTTGAAAGCATTTTTTGATCGAAACTGATCTATTCGAATAGTTCAGCTTCTGTAGCTGAGCTGTCCGAGCATTTTTTGCTCTATTTTTCATGATAGCACTTCTAGATATAGAAAGCTTTCGTTCTATTTTAGTGATGGCACTTCCTGGTGTAGAAGATGTTTGTTGTGTTATTAAAATATCGTTCCCAAAACTGAACAAAATTTTTTCGACAGCCCAAGTTCAGACATTGAACTGTTTGACTAGATCTCGTGATATGATCTGATCTGTTGAAACAGTTTTTTGCTAATTTAATCTGAACTTTGAGGTATCAGTCGGTATCGATCTCTATTAGTTATATAATATAAATAAATACAATTTTATAACAGTTGTATCTGGTTCTTTTAGTTTTTTGCTAGCTACGCTTTTTTTTACTTGGAAATCAAAAATATGATAAGCAAGCCTCTCTTTTTCTCTAAGATCCTTCAACAAAATAAAAATAATTGTGATTAGAACCAGAAGTCTTATCGCAAATCAGACTAGTCTTTTTTCATAAAATCCATTTATATTCTTTTTTTATTAAAATTTGACTGTACCTCGAAAACCTTCTCCTCTAATGTTTTAAATAAACATTACTGCGATGAGAAAACACAATTGGAATTGACATGTCGAAAAATTTCAAATATAATAAAGTAACTAAATAGACTTAATAAGATCTACTCAGCTCTCTTATTATTAAACTCCTATCATCAAAGACAAGAAAATATTGTTAAATATGTAAAAGTATAGAAAGACTTGAAAATTTTCATTTTTTTTCTCATGTATTGATGAAACTGTAACAATATACAGATAAAATTGTAAGTGGTATGGTTAGATGACGCAATACCTTTTTTTCTCAGTTTCCAACATATACTTTTTATACTATTAAATACATTTAACATAAACGGGCTTCTTTTCTAAGTGCAATCATATACACTTTTAGTTTCTAACAATTAAAACATGCGAATACATGTATTAACAAGACGATAAATATATCAAAATAGATACGATAATCAAGAAACATTAACTATTCTAAGTTCCATACAACAACATTATAGAGAATCAGTTCTTTTCTGATCAAAATTCTATCGAATGTAGAGATTAGTCAGAAACTACCATTTTCTATATTAAAACTGATAAGTAGAGAAAATCACAGTATCTAGTATGAAGACGAAGATTTTTTAATTGTTTGAACGATGTCATACGAAATTAAATTTAATATTCTAAGAATAAACTAATCAAAGTCGATGTTATTAGCCCGATTTTATTTTAAGACTAATCAAATTTGCAAAGCAGGAGTAAAGTTTAATTCATTTTATATGCTAAACTCTAGTAATGGATTTGAAGTAATATGAAAGTGCTGTAATATAAAATGCTGTTTATTTCTTGAAAGTATGTCACTAGTATTGTGTTAAACACTCCAAAAAAAAAGAACAACGCAATTGGGTTGTATTTTTTCTTTAGTCGTAAAAGTCAGAATTACATCATGAAAAGAAGGAAGAAGAACGAGCAAAAAAGTTTTTTTTTTGCTAACCGATAAAACTCATCAAGTAACGTTAGTAATCGACACGCATTTTATTTATCTGTTGCCTATTTACTTCTTTGTACACGTGATGAATACATGTGAGTTTTACTATATTAGCCGACGAAATAATTTACCAATACAAGCCAAAGGTATCGAAAAATCATGGCCCGAACTTCAGCAAGAGTTTGGTCGCACTGGGCCAGGTTATCCAGGTGCAACTTATTATAAAACCATTAGCTCTGAAGGACCTCAGTTATTTGCTGTTGTCAATAAAAAATGGGTTTTATATCATGAAGGAGATAAATGGCATCGATATATTACAGCATGTGGTTTGAAATTTGAAACAGTACAATACAATAGATTGAATTCTAACAGAGCAATCAATGAACAAGAAGATGAATCATGGGTTATTGTTTCAGAGAATGATTTCGATACTGAGTTAGCTAATGATAATATGTAATTTTAAATTTATTGATATATAAAAATCAAGATATTTTGTGAAATATAACTTATAGGATGTATTTATGTAATGCAGTAAAGAATGTCAAATGAATATCAGCAATAATATACACATAGATAAAATAGATAGGAGATTAATAATAATATAATGTGATTGATTAAGAGAAATTATGAAATATTTAACTATTAGATTGATTAGAATTTAAATTTAGATATGATTCATATATATGAAAGTCAATGGAAACAATCGTGTAACGCTTTAGTTACTTCTCCAATATTAGAAAGAACTATTGATAAATTTGATCATTCAGTTATTCTTCCTTGATTATTACATCTTTCAGTACGTATTGTTATGATTCTTATTCTTAATAGCATCTTATTCAATTATCACCAAGTTCAATCGGAGAAAGATGCTTTGTTTATCTATGTATTTTCGGCTGGTCGAAGTTTTGTCAATAAGACTTTCGCTAATAGGGCATTCATCGGTAAAGAAAATCTAGAGGTACATAAGCAAAGTAGGGTTGACTCTCGCAAGCTTTCACAAAGCAATATTAATGTAGAATAAATGTGAGTACTGAAGGTAATATTATTTGAATATATATATATCATTGTTAATATTCAAAGTGTGTTCAAATATGAGCGAGTGAGGTTTTCAATAAGGAAAAAAAAAGCAAGACTAATATGAAAAAACGACAAATAAAGCATAGCCGAATGCTTATCTGATGATGAGCCAGATAAATCTGATTCGGAAGGGTGTAAGTGTTACCAAAAGGAAACTCGTATCTATATCCTTCTTGAATTTATCGTTAGAAAACATTATCAAATCATACTATAGATAATGATGAAACAATATTCATTCATTATCATTGTCAATGAATCCATTTTCATTTCCTTAGCTTACATGAATACGTCAAAATGTCTTTTCATTAAATACCATACGATATTTAAATACACTTAATGAAGCTTCTATTACATTTCCACTGATATACAAATACATAATAAAAAGTAATAAATATCATCCAAACTAAAATAAGGAGCAAACAAAAACACTTGTTTTCACATACAAGCATAATTGATCTAGAGACCACCGTCCAAGCTACACAGATCGTATTTATGTTTCAAATAAAGTCCTGCGAGACAATTTTTTTTTGAGTGCCAAATCTCGTTTATCCCGTCCGTTTTTATTTTCAAAATGTCTCAATACTAAACGTCTCACATGACTCTATTTTCAGAACTCTAAGAAGGTCTTCAAATTTGAAAATAGTTAGCAATATCTGATATACAACTTAATGATCATTTATCATAATTTACCGAAATGATGTTATACAAGAAAGTCAATATTCAAGGAAAAAACACCTTCAACTACTGTCATTATCTTTCTGGTTTTTCTTTCCTCAAATTTTAGAACACAATTTAATTTTTTACAATAGAAAGTTTATTTTTTAACATTCATTCAACTTAATGTTTATTGTTCAATCATTAAATATTCAACAAGGAGTCATTATTCTGTGAACATCATTCAAAAATCGATTTCATTTATAATGAAAAAAAATGGAAGTCGATTTAGAAAATAATGAGAAAATCGAATGAATATTTTTATTTTTATATTTAATATTTAAAAAAGTCTATATATATATATATGTAGTTATTATGATTTAATCCTGAGTTGAGAAAAGTGTTTTTGAAGATTGTTTTAATGTATTAATAAACCAATCACGAAGATTTGTATTATTTGTTTGTGCTCCGAATTTAGCATTAAGAAAACATTCAAGTTCAACATATGCCTTTGAATCAGTTAAACGAGGTATTATCTACAATAGAAAAAATTTTAACATTATCACACAAGTAAAAAAAAATACAAGTTTCAAAATATACTTTGGTTAAAGTTTCGTCATCATTAGTTGCTTTTATTGTTTCTTCTCCAGTTAAAAGATTAAATAATTCTTGTAGAATCGAATGTATTTGACTCTAGAAAAAAAAATGATTTGATGATAATTGATAATATAGTGACATAATATCTTACTTGATTAATTTGTTTTGGATCAGTTTCAGCAACTTGAGCAATAGGTAAATATCTAAATCATTATGATAACTTTTTTAAAATCTGTTTATAAACACTTATAGGGATTGAGCAGCCTTAGATTTAACTATATATATTAAAGCTGATATGGTGATAACCGTGGGATTAAAATGAGGAACGTGATGCAGTTGTTGTTAGTAATCAAAAGCAGATTGTTTTATTCTATCTATTTTAGGACACATTTCTTCAGGTTTCTTTTACTTAATCCTCGAGAAATCCTAAAAGAAAGCTTTTTTTTATATATTAAAGTGAGATGTTATAAATATTCGATCTTTAATTGTATATCAATAACATGTACCTCGATCTGTGATGAAGCAAAAACATGACTAGGGAGATTTGCTAGATTAGTGATGCATTTTTGCTAAGATGTCTGTTACGGTTTGTCGATTCCACCCGTCACGATCTTAACGTTTCTATGCTAATGTCTGTCATAGTCGGTGAGGGATGCAAATTGAAAATTGTATATACTTCAAAACTTCTTTTAGACTGTGATTTACAAAAGATAATTTTAGAACCAAAAAAAAAACGTAACTCAAAACAATTACTAGTATGCATGTTTAACAAATACATACTTTTTATAAATATTAAGTAATTGATCTAATGATACTGAAACTACATTAATAAAATCATCTTTAGCTGTTGTATAAAAACCATATATAGATGATGATTGTTGATTTTGTATTTTTGTTGTATTTATTCGTAATGTATTCGAAGAGTACCATGCTAAACTAAAACTAGCTGTTGGTTGATAATCTGGTAATTCACGCTTTATCATATTTAAATTAATATTTGGACATTGTCCTAGATCATCATCATTAATTAAATTCATTCCACTTGCACTTGTTTGTGCACTACGCAATGTACGTGCTGATGATACTGATGCTCGTTGTGGTAATTTATCTGTTGATAATGATGTTATTTGTAGAACATTTTGAGTATAAATTTCTGATGGATATATAGCAATACATTGTGATGAATAATGTGATAATGATTGTAATGTTTGTGTAACACCAATAAAACGTGGAAAAACATGTAAGAAAAAAAGATTTGAACGGCCAACAGCATCACAATCCAATGAAAGTAATTGACGATTATCAATACGTTTAGCAACAGCATTTTGATAATCTTAAAAAACAAAAAAATAAAGAAAAAAAAACAGAACAAATTGAATGTAATAATTAAACAATCAATATCTTACTCAAAAGATGTAACCATGTTATATCTTGTGTTGCAGCTATATTTAGACGATCAAGTTTTGAATCGAATGATTCTGGTAAAGATTTTGTTTCGAAATGTGGAGCTAATGTAAGAATTTCTCGTTCGGCTTCACCTAATTTATAAATATAAAAATATAAATATTTGCAAAAAAATATCTTTTTTTTAACTAACTTCTATAAATACGTCGACGTTCCGGAAATACAAAATAACCAATTATATCACCTGCTATATATATTGGCCAATGTAATTCATTAGTATCAGAAAATTCTTCAGCTAAACCAGGTAATTGTACTCTAAAATATAGACAAACATTTTACTCAATTGGTTCTTAGTATTATATGAAACACACAAATAGAAATATTTGTGAGCAAAAGATTTTGTCTCATGAATTAAGAAAAGTGATTGATTCATGCCCATTAAAATTGGATATCTTTTTCAAGGAACATTCTGTATCTATATAAGAAAAAAATTATCTTCTTCTAAAGGTAATCTCATAAAAAAAACGGTTCTCGACTTTTAAAATTTGAAATGATGCGAAAACGAAAAACAAAACTCATTCTTAAATACCGTTTTTTTTGATTAAGTGCTAATTGTGTTGCTGCACGTATAGCAACAGCTGCTGCTTGTTTTAATTGTTGTTGTTGACGCCGTGCACTATCACTAAGAACACTCAAACTTGAACGGACATTTGTTTGTCTTTGTTTTAATATTGATGGTCGATCAGTTGTTGATGGTGTTGATGGCTGTTCATTCGATTCAACAATTGGTACTGATTTTGCTGATGATTTTCTTCCTTTTGCACTTGATATTTGTGTATATTCAAGTAAAACAGTAGCCAATTCAAAATAACATGTTTGAATAAATTGACTATCATTTGTACTTAAATAACAAAAACGTATAGCATCTAATAATTGTTGTACGATTGTTTTTAATGGTATTGTTGATGTTGTTGTTGTTGTTGTTGTTGTTAATGTAGTACGTTTTTGTAAACGATTTATACGAGCTAAATGTAAAAGACATTCATAATCAATATTAACATAACGTTCGACTATTAATTCATTAAGTGTTAAACATTGACGAAAAAGTATTTGAGCATTTTCAAATAAATCATTCATTGTTGGGTTTTCATTAAATGAACGGTATGCATAATCAATAATTATTGTTGCTGTACGTAATTTAGCAAATACAAGTGGAAGAAGTAAAGATGAATATAGATTATTTAATGGTGTAATTGGCATAGAAAACCAATCATGCTTATGATTAGAACTTGTCATTTGAATACGTTCACGCATTTGAACAAACTAAGAATAGAAGTTAAAAAGAAAACATTGAATTACATTTGAATTAGCAAGCCGATTGCTTTTTATTGATCATATGTATGGGAATGAATAAAAGTTTCAGAGTGCATTGATAGTGCAAGTTCTGAAACTTGTATATTTTTTGTAAAGACTTTCATCATTTTTGAACAGAAGAAATTTGTGAGTCAATCAATTATATATCTAAATTCTTTACATTATTTAGTTCATTGAAGTATGGCAATCATTGAAAGAACTGTAATCATCAATATGAAGAACAAACATTTACTGCTTTTTTTAAATGTATAGCTCAGCAATACTTCGTTTAGTCAATTTTAAAATTTCATAGAAATATTCTTAACAATTGAACTTTTTTGTCGACGCATTTAATGAGCGAATATTTTCAGTAAGGAATGGTCATAAACTGAACTCAAACTACGTGCAAAATATTAGAAACTAGTTATATATATGATAAGAAAGAATGCCTATTTTAACCAGTATCATTTATCACACTTGTATTTATACGAATTTCTGTGCCTGGATGGCTGCATTGTTCAAAACGTATATACAAGGTGCTGAGTTCAAATCTATCAGTCATGAAATTACTCTGGGCAAGTCACCAACAGCTGTTTGCCTTGAACTATACATCCAATAGTATACTGATTATGTTGTAACATATGCCTACTATTATAGTTATTTAGTGTATATGAGAATTGTAAGAACTCTGTGTCAGACTTGTCTTCTGCCCAGAGCTGCAGCTTGTACTACTTGCAGATAAGGTATTTAACTATTAAATCTATCATTGGGTAGTGCTACATATCGCACGGTAGTTGAGAGGCAGGGGTATTGTTCTTCTTCTTTTGCCTATTTATACTTAAGTAATGGACAAAGGACGATGCGACTAATCTGTAGTAACTCTCATGTGAAAGATATGTTTTCAATACATACAAAATCTAGTATAGACGATTGTAATTTATCATTTTCTTTTTCTCCAATTAATTTTAAAGCAGTTCCATCTAAATCTTGAACACATAGATGTTCCCAAAGAAGTATTTGTGTTAATAATTTTTTATATAAAATATCAATTGAGATAATATTGTTTTGTTTAACAACTAAAACTGATTGAAATAATTCTAATGCTGTATTTAATTCTTGAATATTATCATTAATATTTACTAATTCACTTAAATTATATAATGATTTATAAAGTAAAAATGTTGCATACATTGATTCACATTGATATTCTTCAGATTCATTTAATCCATGTTCAATATAAACATTAACATTAGCAAATTCTTCACGTATATGATCATCTATACCTTTTACTTTTCCTAATGTATTTATTTGTTGTAACATAACATAACAAAGATAAGCACGTTGTTTTAACCATGTATACACAGTTAAATTATGTGAATAACGTGTATTAAAAAGAATATTTAATGCATTTAATTTTTTTCGTGGATATCGACTTACAGCACTTAAACGTGGATATGATGGTTTACGTTTGGCTGATCTAATAAATGTGAAAAAAAAAGAACAAAAAGATAAAATATTTTGAATATGAAGTTTATGATTTTGTATCTTACCCACTAGCTACTTTTCTTTCATTAATATTATCTTCACCAATCATAGATAAAATTTTCAATGATTCCATTGCATATCTTGCAGCTAATTGATCTAAATGACATTGATGTGCACATTCAGATAATAATGATAAACAATCAATAAGTAGTTGATATTCAAATGATTGTAAATTTGATGGATAATCACGGGACATTTCATCGGTTTGTTGTAATACACTTAAACATCTTTCTGCAAATAATTTTCCTGTACCAACAAGATAAGATTTTATATGAACAAATGAACGTGTTGTTTCATCATGAAAAGCAACTAATTTTAATTTTGTTGCTGATGCTAAAACAAATCAAATGTAAAACTAAGACATGATGCGATATTAAATTGGAACATTTTTCTTATTTTTTAAGATACTTCTAAGAAACTTAAAGAGTTTGTTCTAGGCTTGTACAATAGAGCTTGGGAAGCTTCAAGTAAACTTTAGAAAGCATACGATAGGCATGACGAGCAGTCGAAAATTTGAAATATATATTTTTAGTTCGCTCTGTTCCTATTCCGAGCACTCAAAAACAATATTCTATTGAGTATTCATTTCGACATATCGACATTAGAGATGTGCGAAACTAGCTGAAACTCCTCTTACCAGGACTGCGATCATGAACAAAAAATCTGCCGGAACTAGAACTCGAGTGTATAGTAAAATTTTCTATGATTTTAAACAAATTTTCTTACAAATCATATGAATCACAAAATAATTCAAGATAAATAATCCAGAAGGAAAATGCTTGTCGTCGACAAAATAAATCAAAAAAAAAATGAGTATTGAAGAATTATTTTAGATGTGATATGAACAAATTCTGAAATAGTTCTTTCTAGACCGAAACTAAGACTACAAGGAAAGAAGTTACCGTTATCACATCAGAACCATGACTACACCAGACTTATGTAGACTATGAACGGGATTTGAACCAAAATAACTTAGTGTCACACATTTCTACTCAGCACTCTATGAGAGGACACTTTCGATTGCTTCACTAGAAGCAGCACAGCATAATATGCTATTTTGACTACTGAGTCTAATTGAGATTAGGTTAATCTTCTCCAAAAAGCAATTTTGAAGTGTTTTATGAAAACTAAGACTAAAATCTGTTTTCAAATGTCAGATGTATCAATCTTAAAAAAAAAACTGTTACTGTTAATTTTTAAAAATTAGTAGCAAATGTTAATATAACGGAACACAATCGTCAAGGTATTATACTTTTAAGATTTGAAAAGATGACTTTCACAGATGAATACTGGTCCATATTTAACTTAGATGTTTGATGAAACTGAATCGTAAATATCTGTGTTCATTTTAATCGAATTTCGATTCTTTCGGAAATCGCCCATCAGAATGACCTAACCTCTAGTCTAAGAGCTATTGGAAAGAAACAATCCGAGCACTCGTTACAGGATTTCGAGACCCGTTCAGAAACTGAAACTCGCAATTCGAAATATCTATTGAATAGCTGATTAGAAAACTTCAGGAAACTGTCGATGCATTTTCTAATATATATATATATTTCTTTTTATTAGAAATTTGAAAAATAAGAATAACGTCTTTTTCTTGGAACAGCTTTCTTTCAATTCCACATGAACCACTAGATTCTTCATAAAATTCTGCTACTTGTCATGTAAATTTCAAAACTTGGGAACACAAATGAACGAAAGAATTTTTATGCGTTAAACACTGAGAGAATACACAAAAAATTTATAATTATGATACAACATTTACATTTCTATCTTGAAGATTGTAAAAACTTACAATTTTTACTAATCAATTTCAAAGACATAGTGTTTTATTCAGCGTTCAATTCTGCATCTAATAATATTTTCGAAAATACTACCAAGTATGTCAGTTCGAAGTCTATTTCTTCGAAACCATAACAGAAGAAAAAAATTTGCAAAAATTTAGAAGAATAGCAAATGAAATTTTGTATCGATTAATGTTATAATCTTCATTTTTGATTTTTAAATTTCAATCAGAAAAAGCTTTATGAAATCGATAGATATCTTGCTAAAAAAAATTGCATATCAAGATCGAGATTGAATTTGTGTCTTCATCTTTTCAATTTTGTAATAAGAAAAATAGAGATGCAAAATGTATAATCAACATTTATGCAAATCTTTCATTTCTCTATCGTATTAAATCTTGAATGAACTCACTAAGTTTTTAAGAAGCGTCTTAAAAATAAACAAAAAATGATCTATTTATTTCGTGTTACTTGCTAAATAAATTCTATGAAAATAAAAAATTAATTTACTTATTCGAGAACCACTAACACCTGCTTTAGAACGTGAATCATTTGTTGTTGTTAAAGTTTGTTTTAATTCACTACTTCTACAAATAAATATTTTGATAAAATAGATTATTAATCAAACTTATGAAACTAACTGAAATAGATCCAAATTGGCAATAATTGGAATTCGTGAAGCAAGACGAACAAAAAATAATGACAAAAGATAATGAAATTCAATAGATAGATGTGACCCATAGAGACGAGACATTGCTGGAGAGAGTTTAACCGTTAGAAGTGCATCCAATATCTAATAAATAAACATATTTTATTTCATAAGTATTTAAAAAGTAAGAAATCATACAATTATTCAACTAAAGAGAATATTTAGCTCATAGAAATACTTAAAATTTAAGGAGTTCCCAAAATAATAGTGACACTATTTCGAAATGTGCATTCAATTTAGGCTAACTTATTATAAATCAATGAAGTTTGTTTCACAGGTAAATCTTCTTTTTGAACTTTTACATTTATTCATCTCTTAAATAAAGCTAAAAGAATTTTTCTTTCGGGAAAATTTACCATTTGTCGTTGTATTTGTCTCCATATTTTGCTAATATATAGCAGATTACCAGAATAGCATTATTTCTAGAAGTTTTCTGTTTATGCTGCAATTAGGTCAATATAGCGACTGTTAAGTAGCACATTCTTTTTACAGGAGTCCAGTTTTAGAAAAACAGATATATTTGAGAATTTCGATCTGAAACGATGTATACATCAAGAGTTCTATCAGACTATTTCATTTATAAAGCTTCCTCAATTTTAGATATCGTATCCCTACGATATGGAATTCTCAATACATCTCTATCTTACACAGCACTTCAAGGCAAGTGTCTATATGTTGATAAGTCTATATAGTAGCATAGCCAGGAACTTTTCAGCCAAACCATTTTGAAGTATGGGCTACTATTATCGAACGATTAAGTAATTGTTCGCATTACAAGAAATTCTTAGACAATAAGTTTTTGGCTAATAGACAATCGCTTATAGCTGGTCACGCCACTGAATCCATATCTCAGAAATACGATATTCAAAACTGAGAAAACTTTACAATTGAAATAGTCTAATCGGAACTTTTATGTCGACAAATTTTCAAGTCAAAGTTCAGAAATATAATTTTTTTTCGAAAATCGGACTACATATTGAGAAAATAAGGAAGCAAACGGAACGGATCACTTGAGAACTCGTTAGATTTTCTTTATTTACAAAAGTCCTCTGAAGTTTATATATTCTTAATTTAAATAAACTATGACTAAAAGAAAAAAAAATCTTTCTTGAACACAATAGAAAAGCTTGTTTTACCAAGAATATCAAACTTACTCCTATATTATAATCGGACATGATACTTTTTGAATTATCAAAATATTGTGGCTAAAAAAGCAATATGAAAAAGAAGAAGGGAATTTATATTTAACAATTAAACAAAAAAAGAATGTTTTTTACTTTAAATTTTGATGAACTACTATCAGCATTACTTGATCGATAATGTCCAGCTAATTGTGTACTTGGTAATTTTTGTCCATCCAAAAGTATTTGTATAACTATATGTGCTTCATGAAATAGATCAAGTTGAATAAGTGCACGTAGACGTATTAATCGTGCTTGTACTGTATGTTGTAAATTCCGACAATGTAAAGCAAATACATCATAAAGAGCAATAATAGGAAGAGTCTATGAAAAAATAAAAATTCAATACAATATAAATTCTAATAATCATTTGTTTGCTTTTTAATATTTACATGAAGACAAATATCATGACGAATAAGAGATTCAGATATATAAGCTAAAGTATCCATCAATGATCGAGGATTTAAACGAAATTCATCACTTGTTAATTGAATACCAGGCCATATATATATTGAATTATCAATAAATAATGTTGCATAATCAATATCATGTTCTGAATGTGGTAAACTATAAAAAAAGATTGAACGTAAAAAATATGAACTTAATAAACATGTTTGAAGATGTTGATCACAATTAATATGAATATGATATCTAAAAAAAAGAAAATAATTCATTACAGAAAAAAAAAAACTATTATTACATGATATACATACTTAGTTAATTTACATGTTACAATAGCACCTAATAAACATCCCCAAATACCACATTTTTCAAGTAATTTTCCTCGATTTGAAAGTAAATGCTTTAATGTATCATTTTTAAACCATGTTGTTACAACATCATGACCATCAAGTATCGTATCAATAACATTACACCATGCTGTTTTTGATTCCCTGATAAGATAAAATATTTTTTTATTGATAAATATAAGAAATATATTTATAGAACTTACATTGATTTATCACAATGAAAATATAAATCACCTAGTTCAGTTAACACTTGACAATATTGATCACGACGATTTTGACCCAATAATAATTCTAGAAATATTTTATTTATATGCAACAATTATCATTATCCATTATGATCTCTTTTTACAAGAGAATTATTGTTAGATAAAAATTAGAATAAAAGCAAAGATATTTCGAATCTACGTGACTTGGGAGGATTACAACTTTTTGTTGAGATACTTAGTAAAATTTTAGTATCTCAAGAACGAAGGCACGGAAAACTAGACCATTTCACAAGTTTCTATTTATCTTTAATACTCATTAGATGAACATCATCTCGATCGAAAAACAATTTGACACCTGAAGATGTCTCCTCGCAGTTTCGATAATCTTTCCGTATGGTTTTAAGTCTTATAATCAAATTGTAAAATATAAACATATAGTCATGAATGAAAAACCTAACATTTAATGTTATTATTTCTTTGTTTTAATTAAATAGAAGAAAAGACAAATATCATTGAATTTTTTCTCATATCTACATACAATGAATACAATAATTTTATAATAATTCATTTAATTTATATGTTAATAAGATCTTTATGATATAGTGCACAGCTTGCTTTGACAGACTCATCAAATATGCTAGTAAAAGCAAATGTTCAAATAATGCGCATTATGTTCACAAAAAATAGAAGATTATCTGAACTATAAATTATTAATTTATTTATGACAATAACTTCACTCACTTGATATTGTTTGATAAGCTTCAATCACTGATTCTTTTGTAATTTGAGCTGATGGTGATGTATCAATTTTATTATTAATCAATGGAGAAAATTCTAATGGTTCACCAGCTGTTAATGGTCGATAATGTAGTGTTGATATTGATTCTTTTTTTGTTGACGGTTCTTCATTATGTTCTTGAATATTTTCAATCATAGGGGTAAATATTAAAAAGTCTTTGGCTAATTGTTGTTCTTGTTTATATATATAGAAAGCTAACATTTTTCGACATTCAATTATTGAACGAGATGAATAGTAAGTTTTATCTAATGCTTGTCGTAAAAGTTTACGACTACATTCAACATCAAGTGGAATACTAATTAATTCTAATGCACGATTTGTTTCTTTAAAAAAAAAGTAAAATATTCGAAATAAGGCAAAACTATTCCAAAAAAAACATATAAATAAATAATAACTTACGAGCATAATAATCAGTTCCTTTAGGATCAAGCCGAGCACCAAGACTTAAAGTTGATGCTGAACGTACTCTTTCTGCATTTTCACCTGTGTGCTTAGCTATTTTAAATAATTTCTCTGGTCGTAGTGTATAAAAATCATCGGGATGTATTGGTCGACCAAGAGTAGCAATAGCTTCATCAAAATGTGGTTGATCAATTGAATTTTGTTTATCACGTAATTGTTGTATTAAAGCTGTTTGAGCTGCAATTAATAATGGACTCGTTAAATCAGCAAAATAATGACTAAAACAAAAAGAATCTCATTTAAAAAGAAAAAACTAACAAAGGAAGCCTTCCAATTATTCAATCACTTTTGAGTCTAGACTATGTGCATTATATAGATCCAAATAAGCTATGAATATTCTGAAAAGAGTTCTTGTCCTTAGGTTTTTCCTATGAAGAAACTACAATTCTTTGGTAGTTTTCAAATAAATGCTGTGGTAACAAAAAAACAAATTATCGAATTTCAACTGAAAACCTTGTACAGAGGTAGACCTAGTTTTTTTGTGAATGTGTCAGATCTTGTCATTGTTCTTATCCTAAGATACAAATATATTAATAGCGTGTCTTTTATATCACGTATACAAACAAACAGATTTGATAATCTCATTTCAGGATAAAAGCAAATCAAAAGATGTGAGACCACTTTCGTTAAGGCCTGTCAGTATGCAAAGTTTCTAGTTAAAATTCGACAACCAATTTTCTTGTTACCACAGCATTCATTGAAAAAATACCATAACAAGGCAGTGTTTCCATAGCAATAAGTTAAGGATAAGAGTTCTTTTCAGGATATTCATAGCTCATATGGGTTTACATAATGTACATAGTCTCGAGTAAAAAAGTGATTGAGTAATCAGAGAACTTCCTTCATAAAACTGTTTGATTAATCATACTCCGATAGAGCATTAAATTTAATAGCTATTGTTCCTAATTTTTCCCATTTAGCAGCTACATATAATGCATGTAATGTACGTAAAATAAATTTTCTAATAAATCTTAAATCAATTAATATAGTTCGATCTTGTGGTTGTTCAAAATTAAATGTTGTACTTGTCCATGAACATTCAATATTAGTAAACCATTGATTCAATTTATTTGTATTTGTATTTATTATTTTATCATTATTATTATCATAAAATGGTTTTGTACGATAGAGCATATCAAGAAGTAATTCACTTGCTATAAACATTGTTTGATAACCATGTGAAAGTAATGCATTTAATGAAAATATTTTATTTAATGTTGTTATAGATAAATATTGTGTAAGTTGTTCAATTGAATCATAAAATGATTTAGAAGTATTTTGTAATAATGTCCAATTATTTGAACGATATGCAAATACAATTGAATGACGATAATGTAAATAAAAACGATCAAGATATGCACGAACACGTTTAAATCCATATGGATCATTGAAATTAAAATCTGTTTTTTGACGATATAAATCACTAACTTCACGACGTGGTGAAATAGATGTTGATAATTTTTTCGATGGAGATGGACGATTAGGAGAGATTTGTTTACGATCACGAACTGAACTTGCTTCATCACCTTTTTGATTTAAATAAATAGTTGGATCCGATATTTGTCCTAAATATACGTATAAGAATCTTAAGAACATTGTTTGTTTCGTTGTATAATATTCATAATACAGATAAGAACAGTTTTTGTTTTAGAAATCAGAAATCGAATACCAAGTCCATTCTTTCTCTTAATCAAAGTAGTACGGTTTCTGTATAATGAGAAATCTATGAATAAAATTTAGAAAATATTCGGATTCACCAGTCTCTGAACATTTCTTGATAAGTACAACATATGATATTTGTTGAAGTCTGTCATCATAGTTCTATTGTTTTAATTTCGTAAGAAAAAAAATTCGTTCTATTCAAACTAATGCTTTTGTTTTTCGATACAATTCAGCTGAACAATACAATACTCATTGATAGGGATGTACGAGATCAAAGTTGTTTAGCACTGGTCTCGTTAGTAAGAAATTTCCTGAATAAGTTTTTGTAAATTCATTTAGTTGATGAAAAACACATTTTTTTAAAATCTTTTCTAAATAATGTTTCGATAGTTATGAGATATTTAGCTTGAACAATAGAAGTTTTACCTTTCCTAAGCTTCTAGGAAGCAGCTCATTAGAAAATTTCAAAACTTTCAAGACAAATAAATCCTGATGAATGAAGCGAAAATATTCATAGACTCCAACTTTCCAGATATTGTCTTCTATGAGATATTGAAGTCTCTAAGAGTTGACACCAATTCACTTTTAACTCGACTCCTTTTCTCCAAGATACTACGTTCGATTGAGCTGAGCATTTCTTTAAACGTACGGAACATCGTTTGAAGTGGCTAATTCTTTTAGTTTTCTTATATCCTTCGAATAAAAAAACGCTTGTTCTTGCACGACAGACAAATTTTGTAAGAAAAAAACTGCTGAAGATCACTAGAATAATATTTTTTTAATATAACAACAAAAATCACTCGATATGAGGTTTAATATTTATAAAAAAAAAGTTCTAAATCAACAAACCATATCATGCTAAACAAACAGGAGTTAAACAGCGATTTTTGTTTGTAGGAAACTTGATTTTAAGAAAAGCGCAAAACAAAATTAAGTTGCTATTTTCTTCTAAATACTCGTCGTTTTTCTTTTTACAAGTTTTTGATGGCTGCTCATTTGATGGAATTTTTCTCAGGTACCGAGAGTATTTTTTTAATATCTGCAAGATGCTTATAGTCATAAGAAATCCACATATCTATCGCAAATCATCTTCTGTTTTCATTTTCCTTTTGAACAGATAGAAATAAAATAGATGAAAACATTGTGAAAAGACTTTCTATTTTTTTCGCAGATCATTAGAAAATATTTCGAAGAATATGAATCGATGAAAAAACCAACGAACAACTTTTTTCTCATAGTATCAAAATTAGTAGCTGTAAAAAAAATTATTCCCACATATTTTCTATTCGTGGTTCTGAAAAAAAAATGAAAATATGTAATGAAAAAATCTATTTTACCAATAAGTAATTCATTAATTATTTCCACACGATCTTTGACATCTGATTGTGTAAAATTAAATTCAAATTTTCGTTCTAATGTTGGATCATCAAGTACTTCATCATCTGTGACATTTCGAATAATAAGATTTGTTTGGTCATATGTAAATAAATTAGGATTAACACGATCAAATCTATAAGATCCATCTTCTAATAAAGCTTGAATTTTTTCATTAGATTCTTTAATCACCGATGATATGCGATCAAGACAATAAAGTCCATTAAGTAATTCATATTGTGCACGCCATACTAATTCATCATTAATAAATCGACGAAATTTTTTTCTTGCTTGTCTTTGATGATAAAGGTCAGGCAATACATTGAATAATTTATCAATAGCCTATTAAAATTTAAAAAAAAATAAACAAAACCTTGATTTTTAAATCTGTTCCTGACATTTATGGACATTTTTTTTTTCGCATTATTCATAGGGCTTAACTCAGATACACATATATTCATGACAAGCGCCTCCATCTTTTCTTTTTTTTGGCGGGGGGTTAATCTCTACATTATAAATAAATACGAATGCAAAGACATCAAAATAGTTACATTTAACAATGAATATTATCTATTATTTTCTATCAATAATTATCCTCAAGATTCATCTTATTGAATCATATAATGATACAAATAATGGTATTCGTATACAAATATTCGATAATATAGCTGAAATTTCTCGACCCATATCAGGATTTGATTTACCTATAACATATACTCAACAAGAATGGTCTGATATACGATCAGATTCATTTCGTTTAGTTGGCGATTATGTTAAGATTCAAGGACAAATTATTTCTCATAATCGTACTTCTTTAAATGGTCAAAAAATATTTGTTCAACGTAATTTAAAAGATGATACATTTATAGAAGCTATAATGATTGATGAAACACGAAATTTAATACATGATTTAACTGATAATACATATTATACAATAACATCAGATCGTATAAGATATTTATCAATTCCACCTGTACGAAATTATTTTGTTAATTTTATATTTCATACAAGTCATGTCGAACAACTTTATTTACGTTATTTACAAAATAATATTAAATGGAAAGTTCGTTATGATCTTTTATTAGAAACTAATGATACTGATTCTATTTTACAAGCTTATGCTGATATACGAAATGATGGAAGTTCACCATTGATGATTGATTCAGCTGAATTAATTAGTGGTGATGTTAAAATTCTATCTACTTCTTCCTCATTACCATCACAATATTACAATAACAATGGTGGCTTTGCTTCTTATGATGGTGTTGGAGGTGCTGCTGCTAATCTACAAGCAGTGCCTACAACAACAAGTCCTGCACCAATAATATCTTCAAGTCAGGAATTAGCTGGTATATATGTGTTTTCAATAAATGAAACATTTATTCTTGATCCTCAATCAAATTTTATTCTTCCAATGTTTCGTCCAGTGATTGATATTGAGCGTTATGGTTTAATAGAAAAATATTTTCGACCGATGGATAATCGTGGTAATGCACGACGTGCTTATCGTCTTCGTGTACCAGATACATATTTACCTAAAGGACATGTATTTGTGCGTGAATCAGATCGTTTAGTTGGTGAAACTAATTGGTTGGACCATTCAGCTAATGAAACCAACGAATTTACTTTAGGTGAAGATCCTGATTTACAATATATTGAATATGTACAATTAAATTCTCGACGACAAGCATATGAAGCAAATGGCTATCGTTTTGTTTTATCAACATTTACAATTAATTTACATTTAATTAATAATAAAAATCGTTCAATAAATTTTGAATATCGTTTAATATTTTCTTCACAAGATAATTTAACATTAAAAGAAAATACCAGTGATAATTTATTACAAGTTGACGGTTCAACTATTAGTGGTATATTTCAATTGAATGAAAATCAAAAACAAGAAATTCAATTTATAATTGAAACACAATAAATGTATCGTTTGTATGAAAGAAACAACAAAAGTTAATATATAACCGTTTGTTTTATATTTAATTAACAGTCGAGGTCGTGTCTTAATCAATGTATTCTTTTTTTGCTTTATTGAAGTTTAAGCACTAATATGTTTTTTTGCTTTATTACTAATCTTTACAAGACCATATTGATTTGATTTATCCTTAAAAAGTCATTGTCAATAAAAAAATGAAAAATCTTGAAACGATCAATGACAAAAAAAAACGAAAAACGAAAAGATTACGTTTAATTTAAAGGTTAATCCTATGTATTGTAAATTATGAAAACATTAGTAACACTTACTGGTTTTTGACGTTGTTCGAGTTCAATACGAACCGCGTCTGGTATATTAGGTTGAATAAGATAATAATATTTAGTTGGTTTTGCTCGTAATAATTTTTTAGTTACATTTCCTTGTTTCTTTTTTCCAGCTTGTTTTTTCTTTCGTTCTGGACTAAATTCTGTTAATGCAGCAGCTAAAAGAAAAGGAACAAAAAAACATGAATGACGAGTTCACATTTTGATATTATTGAAATATATTCTCTCTTTACCATATTTATTTTCATTACTACCAGCAATTGCTATAATACCATCTCCTTTACTGATTATCATACGCCATGGTCCAAGAATAAGTTCATTTCGTTTGGATATAAATGTTTGATTTTCATCATACCAATTAAGAATATCATCGTTAGATGAATCAATTAAAGATTTTACTAAAACTTGTGTAAGATATTCCATATAGGAGGGACGTTTGCGAAACTTTTGAACTAGAAGAATATAAATACATTATTAACGTATGTATATGTATCAAAGAAAATGATTTATTAAACTATAATTGATTTATATGAAAACGAATATTAGACTTAACGGTGAAATGCAACTTATTAGAGAACGCTTCTAAGTGTGAGATCCCTTTGAATTCCGGACTATGTGTCTCATATAGGTTCTAATGAACTATGAATACCTTGAAAAGAATTCGAGTTAATAGATTATTACTGGCAGGATACTGTATTTTTTTTCAGAACATCGTAGTCTTCGGAAACATACCAGAAAGACGGAGTTTCAAATTTCGACTTGAAACTTTCCATAGAGACAGACCTTGATAAGAATAGCTTCTTATGAAAGTTTCAGATTACTCGATTGCACCTATTCTGAATTAAAAACATTGGATTTTGTCGTTGTATATGAACGATGTGAAAAACATGCTTTTACCAGGACCGTCTCTTAGGACAGAAGCAATCAAAAGATCAGAAACTTTTACAATAAACTATTCTCATTAAACGTTGCCGTTGTGCAAAATTACAAGTCAAAATTCAAAAGTCAATTTTTCTGCTGTTTTTGAGGACGGCTACCGTATTCTGCTTGTAAAAATATAGTATCTTGTCTGTTATAAGTTATTAGTACGAATTTTTTTCAAGATATTCGTCGTTCATTCGAACTTACATGATATACGTAGTTTCAACTCAGAAGCAATGGAACACTTGAAAATGATTACTCGTTAGTAAGAAAATGACGTATCCTATCTATCAATTTTTTCAATCGTGTACCTTCTTTATAACTTTGTCGAGCTGATGTTGCATTAATAAAAGTATAAACAGTAGTTGGATCTTCATTTCCAGTAAGAATTGTATGTGGAGTACGTTCTCGTGCTACAAAACGTTCTAATGCTTTAAGTTCTTCATTATGAATTGTTGAATAATGAGCTTTTGGTATTAATTGTTCAGCAATATCATCGGATAATGCAATTTGTCCTTGTGTACCTGATGTTGCAATTTGTTCAGGTATATTTGTATCATTTGTATTTGTTGTCGTTTGTGATATTTGTTGTGTTGTAGGCATAGATGATAAAAATTTTTTTCCTATTTGATTAATTAAATTAGATAATTTAATTTCGTCATTTTGTTGTAAATATTGACTCATATAATATGATATACATGCAATCATATGATGAATATTATCTTGTGTAATACGTGTACGTTGTTTTGTTATTTGTTGAGAAATTTCTTCAAATACAGATAAACATTTTTCAAAAATTTGATTTATAGATGAATAAAATATTTTATAAAATATTAATGGTGTTAATAATCCATATAAATATATAATTGATTGTAATGCATAATATGGATCATTAAGCCAACATGAAAGTTCTAATGCTATTAATATTTGACTACATGCATGAATACGTTTTATCTAAAGAAAAAATAATACTAAATAAATTCGAGAAATATGATAAAATTAAATATACTTGATTGATACGATTAGACGATGTTGGTGTTATCATGTCACAATAAAAATGATTTTCTTTTATAAATATTTCAAGATTAATAAATATTGAATTAATAAATTTTTGTAATAATGATATTGAACTTTCAGCAATCCGTGAATATCGTAATCTAAACAAAAACCAATTTTATGAACTTCCTCAACAAGAAACTGTTTTCATCGAGAAAACTGACTGCTTCGTTGTGTAATCGCATGTCTATTATAGATACGACATCAGAAAGATATAATCCTAAGAATGTACCAACTGTTGGAAGTCATTCAACACTTTTAAGTTCATATTTATGACATATAGAGAAGAACTCGGATAAAAAATTATTCCAAAAAAAATTATTCGAACCCTTAAATCTTCCCAGCAGTGCTATGAAAATTTTGGGAGATTTTCACTAAAAACAAAAAAAAATATTTTTTTCTATAAATAGCTCTCATGGTTCTACGAATATCTTAAAATTTTCAGCCAAAATATTTGCTTCCTTCTTGAAATATTCAATGTATGATGGCTATCAATTGTTTTGATCTATTCTGAATTCTAATCGATTGGCGAAAATTAAACATCTTAAGAGAGAAGCAATTTTCTTCAATTAAATTTTGAGAATATCTTTACAATCATGAGACCTACTTGTAGACAAAATTTCAAGTCCAAAATTCTTCATTAGGTTTTCATGTTAATCTTCTGGCATATGATAACAATCTAGCAAATATGTTGTAAATATAAAGCAAAGATCTATAGAGTCAAATTGTTGTTGGGGTTATTTTAGTTTCGTCATCCTCTTTAAATGAATAACATATGAGTTCGAAAGTGATGAATCAATTCAGGTATTCCTTGCATTAATCAGTCAATTGCCGTAATCAATAATTAAACATAAGTTCGATTGAACTTTATGTATATCAGAAGTTCCCATATAAAACTTAACATCATTTGATTGAGAAAGCAAAAAAATAGTAGAGAAATTCATCATAAGAAAATAAAAGCTTTAACTCAGATGAATATGCTATAGCACTGCACAAGAAAAGATGAAAGACTCTATCAGTCAATTGCAAATTACTACAAACGAACCTATCTTCCTCTGCTACATGCCACATATGAACTAGTTCTGTAGACTTTGTTTGATGTATGTTTGGAATTTTAAAGAATTATTTGATGAAAAGTAAGCGTAAAAACTTCTCAAAAAAAAGTGATTATTTTGGTTTTGTTTTAAAACAAAGAAAATCAAACGATTTGATGATTAAAGAATCTTTCATTAAGATAATTTTCTTTTTTAATTACTCGTAGATAACCAATGGATTTTCCACAGATAATTCCCATATTGAACTTTCAATAGCCATTGGTGTTCGTACAAAATATGTCCAAAGTGAATGAAAGGCTTTTTTCGCAACTGTATATTGTTTTATTTCATAGGAAACCTATAATGATATACTATATGAATCGACATAGAAAAAAATATATAAAACAAACTTGTGAAAGAAGACATCGAATAAATAATAATGATATTGGATGTGCAGCTAATATAGGTTCTGTTGATTCACTAACACTTTCACCAATCAATTGTCCATTAACATCATAAATTGCTAATGAAAAAACATATTTAAGATCAGGATCAAGTCCAGAAATTTTAAGTGGTTTAATAAAACTTGCTGGAATCTAGAACAATGAATCTTAATATTATACAAAAATAATATCAAAAAACAAATACAAACTTGTTGACCACTACCAGGATAATTTGTATCAGCCATACGAGCTTTTGCGTTTGGACGATCAGCTGCTCGACAAAAAATACGATATGTAGCAACCTGAACATGACACCAAATAAAACTTTCGAAAAAAACGAAAATATCTAAAATTCTACTTTGCTTGATAATGAACCAAAATCTGGTGCCATAACAAAAACAAAATCAGGTCCTCGAGCAATAATGCATGGACGAGGAACACTCGTAGATGATGTTGTTTCAGATTTTTTATTTTGATGATGCGAAAAATAAAGACGATCTTCTTCTTCAGCTGATAATAAATGTTTATAAGCTTTCTAAAAACAAAACAAAATAAATGCGGAAACTTCGGATTTAAATCCGAGAGTTATGTGTACTTCAAAAAGTGAATCATACAAATCAATCATCCTAGACTGTCTGAATATCAAAATTATACTGTGAAATCTACCATTTAAAATGTTGATTTCTATTGCGCGTTGCCAAACCAATAGGACATGGGACCGAATACAGCTCAAGTTTGAACTCTTTCCCTTGATTTACCCTAAGAAAGTCGTTTTTCCTATAATTTCATTTCTATTGGTCACTGCACAACTAATAGTATTTCGATGGAAGTGCAGTACACATTCGAGTTCTCCATATCTGAAAACCTCGAAGTATCATCAGTGTGACCAGAAGATAAAGCTCTATTTGTGGATCAATTAGATCGTGGACCAAAATATAACCTAGTTCTCTTTAATTATCCTTGTCATTGGTAAGTCAACCTTCTTGTTTCTTTATGCTTTATATATCATTTTGTAGTTCTTGAAATTCTCTATCGAATGGTATATAATAGTTGGGGTTTTAATTGACTATGATAGGAAAAGTCTTTTACGAAAGTCGCGATGGGTCCATTTTTCCACAGAAAGCTATAGAGAAAAATGGGTATTTTTGCAATAACTCAGGAACGGCTCGGCCGATCGTTCTCATCTTCGAACTCGATCGAGACATTGT